ATACGTATATATATATTTATATATCTATTTATGTAATATTTCTCTATATTATACACTCCTGGTAATATGATACGCACTGAACCAAAAGAGGACCTTAACAGCTCATAGATTGCAAGTAAATTTTGGACAAGTAAAAATTGCTTCTTGTTGCCCGACAGGACAACCAGATGATTTCTGAAAATAAGCGTCGAAGCCTGTATTATCTCGTAAATTAATTCCGAATAGAAGGTTCAGGAAACAATGTCATTTATGGATGGATAGGGAAGGGCCTGCGAGGTGGTTGTACCAATTGGAGTCAATTACAATTTACACGTGATATACATGGCCCTAATACACAGGTAAACTATCAGTTTGGAGACGTATAAATCACTGTGTGAAAACAGCATCACTTCATTGGGATTGTCAAAAGTAAATGCCAAAGTAAGTGTGCTGTTGTGTAAGTAAGTAGTATAATATGAATATATGTCAAATGATTTTGATTAGTAATAACCATGGTCATGCTTATATATTTTCAGATTTAGTGTCAGCATCCAGTATACTTGAATATTATATGGATCGTGAAGAATGTAAAGGTCTTGTAAATACGCAACAAGCCAGTCTATATTTTGAACCTGGTATGTATGCATTCTACATGTTAAACATATTTAGTGTGTGTCATCAAAGTGGTATGACTATCGAGGGATGTAATTGTAGCATACTATTAGGCACGTGGGGGTGTTTTTGTGCATTTTGTGATAACATTTTAAATATAGAACACATTAATTACTTTGTTGCATTATTATTATTTTCCAGAGGCAAAAGCATGTCAGCTAACACTAACACCAACAGGTAAACGAGTGTCTCATACCAGGATCTGCAGTTGTGCCAACCCAACAGGCACTTTATCTAGAGGTGATGTAGCTGGTTGGCCAGGAGTGCGAAACACTTTACTGCACAGAGAAACTGAGGTAATTATTTTCCATTGTATCGGATTGCTGGAGTAATAATACTGTCAACCTGTTCATGCTATCAGCTTGTTCAAGTATCTACATCTGTAAACATACATGTATGTGCTCTTCTTGATGTCTAGGAAATTGAGGAGTCATTGCTGTCAATTTATGTCAGAGGAATCTTGCCCAATACCAGTTTCGATCTCCATGGTGTTGACACTACGCAGACGTACATCTGCTCTGCAACAGGATCACCCCAGACGAAAGGAACCAGCTTAATATTTCACTGCCTCGTCTCGAAGTTATCAGCAAACACACTAGCATTGGTGAGCAACTCATATCAGCTGTGTTGATTGTGCCACAGCCGTCTACATGCGTTCTTTGCACCTTCGCCTGCACCTTCACTCTGAGAGCATGAGCATGGCGTTCAGTCGGACTTAGTATTTATGTAAGATGCACTAAACGTGCCATTAGAAAAGATCTCTAAGGAGGAATACACACATATGTAACAGCGAAATCAGCATAAACAAGCTGCATGACCAACATGATAATGTGATGAGCATTCTGAGATGAGCTAAATTGAAAGTCAGCCCTTTGTTTAAGGACACGCAAACACATTTCCAGTTTCCTTATAATGTTGCACAGTAGTGCAAAATTTTTGCTATAAGATGCCCACTTCTACATTCAGCCCACTCTTAATATCAAACTTCTTCCCACGTTTCATTATGAAGGTGTGTAGAGCAGCTCCTTTCATCTTTGTCATGTGGGTATCTTGAAGGGGTTGGATTCGTTTGGTATCCTACAGCACCACCCCTCACACCTATCTCAAGGCACGACACTAACTTTTTTTTTCAGTGGCCCAATCGGGCCACCAAAATCATTGATTTTCAATTTTTGGTGGCCCGAAAATGAAATCTGGTGGCCCGAAAAAAAACAAAGAAAAACATTATAAATCTTTATTTCAATCTCGTATTGTATATTATTTGAAAATTGGGCCGTCTGATGCACTTGCACAAGTCTTTAAACAAACCCCACACAATGGCACACACTGACATTGATGATTGAGGCATACATTTGAATTATCCATTCCACGGCATCAAATTTTCACCAGAATCTTGCATACCATTTTTCTACTTTCACTCATTATTTATCTAAACACGCGCGTGCACATGCTATCGATCAGTTCAGACGTTCAAGAAGATCAAAGTCACAGAGCATGCAAATATTAAAACAAGTAACTGTAATAAAACAACATCACATTGTCTTTTCATGTTAAAATAAAACATATACATTTAATCTCATGAAAGTTAAAATGTCTGGCAGGCTTTGAAACTGTAAAAATAAAATATTGCAGATTTAATAAGATAAAGTAGAACCATAATTATATCAACAAAGTAGCCTGGGTACGCATGCATTTAAAAAGAAAAAGCAGCCATGTCTAAGTTCAATATTTCGTTGCGTAAAGAGACAGAGAAAATTCATAAATAAACTTACAAAGCACTAATATTACACCTCGGATTAAAATACTGATCATCTTCATGGAATAGTTCAGTTATTCTACGCGAACTTTCGAACGCTGGCAGTTTCGCTTCGGATCCGAAACAGTGAGCACCAGTGCAGCTAGCTAGCAATCAGGGTGACCAGACGTCCCGTATTTTGCCCATGTGTCCCGCGTCCCGTACCGACCCTTCCCGGGACGCATGTGTGTCCCGTATTTTTAACATTTTGAACAAACTACATCAAAAAAGGAAGAAATTTCATCATTTTTTTATTATGACTTTGCCTTCGAAACTCGTTTGCCTTCGAAACTCTCATCGCTCGCGTTCATTTTACACCTCCACAGTACACTGCAGACAGGCGTATTGTCTAGACGCATTGTCTGGTTCGCTTGATACAATGTAATCACATGTGTGCTGACGCTTGCCAAATATGCTATGTACGTGTGCCCTCGCCCCGCGAATTGCTTGCTCTCTTTTGAATGTAACGTACGTAAGTTGAACGTAACTAAGCACGTAAGAAACAGTTATTTTTATCACATAGACACTTTGAAATTTTAGTGGCCCGATCGGGCCACCAAATTTCAACTTTTGGAAATTTTGGTGGCCCGACATCAAGTTTTGGTGGCCCCGGGCCACCGGGCCACCGCTAGTGTCGAGCCTTGCCTATCTCTGACCACACCCTAAAATTGGGTATGATCTTCAACAAATATCATATTGCCCATTACACACGGCAATCGGGCAATGCATACATTTCAGACCACAATTAAAAAAATCTTTGTTTGCCCTCACCCGACCCAAGCTGAAAAGTTTGGGTAGGTAGGTAGGCTTTTTTGAGGGGGGGGTCTTTTTAGCTCATCTGACTTAGTCAAATGCAGCTTGTAGAATCGCATGATCGTCTGTCCGTGTGTCCGTCCGTGTGTCCGTCCGTGCGTCCGTCGGTCAACAGTTGGGCACAAATCCTAACCGCTCGACGTACGGTCACGATATTAGGGACGTCGGGGGGGGGGGATCAGGAAAAGGACCCAGAATGACAAATTTGGGGGGTCAAGGGTCAAAGGTCAAGATGTGTAAACGGAGGGGAATATTTCCCCCTTAACTTAAGGTATAGGAGGAAATACGGAATTGCTGCACAAATCTTAACGGTTTGACCTATGCTCTTAATATTCGGTGTATAGTGTGATGGGCAGGAAACTCATCACCAGTGCGAAATTGGAGGTCACAGGTCAAAGGGCAATGGGGGAAAGGTCAGATATCAGACATTTTCTGGGAACATGGGCTAATGGACAGAGTGGAAAACTTTTTTGTTTCAGCGCTGACCTACCATTTTTATCACTTTATTGAAAGGATCATGAAATGTGCTTTCCACTGACGTGCGAAGAGTAAGTGTCTGATAACCGTTTGACCCTCAAGAGGAGGGTTAAACATGGATTCCTCAATTGCCTCAATGACGTGACATAGTTGTCATATTCATGACACATCCATAATCTAGAAACCCAATAAGCCTGGATAGCCGAACGGGTACAGCACAGGCATCACGGCTCAAAGGTCGTTGGATCGAATCCCATCTGATTTTTTGTTATTTACCTGTTTTCTGTATTTTTCTATCTTTATCCATTTAACTGTATCTTATACAAGCACACGTGCACCTAACAACGCTTTTGATGAACTCAGAACATGGTGACAATAAAAAAACCAATTCAAGACATTTTGCACCCTACTTGTGCACACAAATGTGATAGTGTGTTGTTTTCTGTGAGTGAGGTGCCCATCAGTGCCCACCTATGGTCACAGGCACTTGGAGCGCTTCAATAAAATATAATGCTAATTAAATACGAAATCTATTTAATACCAAAGTCTTAATGTTTCTCTACTCTCCTTCACCTATTATTGTCGACAAGCCGTGCTGCAAATGCTCCAGCCACAGTAAACACGCCCACCGAACGCACGCTGCTGCGCTGCAGCTGCACGCTATGCACACTTAAACATAAATATAGAGCAGGTAGGAAAGCGAGATGCCAAAATTTGCTCGACGCTTGCTTGATTTCACACGTTTACAACACAAATATTCAACCATTCTACTCCATCTTTGTTTTTATTTTAAGGCCAGTGTTCACTTGTTATAACAACATACTGTCTGTGTTCGTAACCGAGCTGTGTCACGCAAAATCACAAAGCCTGACGAAATTCTCGCGTTCTCTCCCGTTGCGCAGTTTATGTAAATGGGCTATAGGCGGCGCACTGCATTTTGGGAAACTACCACGCTGCTTTCCAACTCCCGTACGAGCCTCGTCAAAGCCACCAGTGGAGCGTTGCAATAATGCAGCGCAAAAATGAGGTCACGAAGAGCGCCGGTGGGTGTTTCCTGATTCCGACAGCAATTTACATATACTGCGCAACGGGAGCGAACGCGAGAATTTCGTCAGGCTTTGTGTGATCTCGCATGACACCGCTCGGTTACGAACACAGACAGTATGTTGTTATAACAAGTGAACACTGGCCTTCAAATAAAAACAAAGATGGAGTAGAATGGTTGAATATTTGTGTTGTAAACGTGTGAAATCAAGCAAGCGTCGAGCGAATTTTTGGCATCTCGCTTTCCTACCTGCTCTATATTTATGTGTAAGTGTGCATAGCGTGCAGCTGCAATGCAGCAGCGTGCGTTCGGTGGGCGTGTTTACTGTGGCTGGAGCATTTGCATCACGACTTGTCGACAATAATAGGTGAAGGAGAGTAGAGAAACATTAAGACTTTGGTAGTAAATAGATTTTGTATTTATTTAGCATTATATTTTATTGAAACGCTCCAAGTGCCTGTGCCTATGGTCATGTAAAAAGGAGTGCCACTGTACCAACCAGTGGACAATTGTAGTGATCACTGACACCAACCCGCGCGTAGTGGGTGGCATCCACCGACCGAACGTGGTGGCATCCACCTAAGATCACGTGGCAATGAGTTGCCAATCACCTCCCCACCATTAGCGCCCACCTGTGCCAACAATCTCGCTTGCAGTGTCCAGTGCACCCACTTACAATCGAGTGCCAATGGGGTGCCAACTGCTGGCACCAATCAGTATTCATTGTTGGCATCTGCCTGCACCAACTTCTACGAGGAAGGGGGTATTGGAGAAGGGGGGACAGGAGACGAGAGAAAAGGGGGCGGGAAGCAAGAGGGGAAGGAGCGGGAGTAGGGAGGCCAGTGGGCGGGAGGATTTTCATCCAAAACAAACTATTATACTGTGTTGTACATGTGAAAGAGAGAGAGAGAGAGAGAGAGAGAGAGAGAGAGAGAGAGAGAGAGAGAGAGAGAGAGAGAGAGAGAGAGAGAGAGAGAGAGAGAGAGAGAGAGAGAGAGAGAGAGAGAGAGAGAGAGAGAGAGAGAGAG